CACCACACACCCACCACACACCCCACCCCCCCCACCCCACACACACCCCACACCACACACACACACACACACACACACACACACATTCACACACTTAATTTTCTTTACTAGTAGACCTGATTTTATTATCCTTCTCATACTCCAAACAATTACTCTGCCTCTGTCCAAGTGTTTGGTAGCCTGCAACATCATAATAACAGATAGGTAGACACCCTCTGGCTCTCTATCTATAAAATGATACAATTATTTATATTGTCAAAGAAAAAGGAAGGTAGGGCACATAATACTAGTCCTTATTAGGTCCTGGAACAGAGATTGAGGAGACACAAAGTCTGAATTAGAGGCAACATTTAAAACATTTTTACAGGCTACTGAAGTTTCTGAAGCGGGACCATCTGCACTTTCACCAACACATCATTGGTTAGTGAGGTTCTGCTACAGGTGAATTTTAGGCTAAGACATTTCCATTTGTGCATGACATCAGAAGTTTTAGCTTGATCCTAACCTGTTTTACTTTTATTAAAGATGGCATTGGGCCATTTTTATTTCCCTTAAGATTACTATCAAACAGTAGAAATCATTATCAAGTATTTAACTGTTAAATAATAAAAAAGCTACCTGACCAGGTAAAAGTGTGAAATCACATTCACACTTAACAAAGAGAAATGATTAGATGGTTAAATTTCAATAGGAGGTGTCAGGCATGAACTACATACAGTAAACTGTGGTTTGAAATAATATGATTTCCATACAACACACACACACACACACACACACACACACACACAGAGAGAGAGAGAGAGAGAGAGAGAGAGAGAGAGAGAGAGAGAGACAGACAGACAGACAGACAGAGAGACAGACTCAGACTCATACACACAAGTCCTTATGTTTCTTTCTGCTTTCTGTCATGAGAGTATAGATTTTGATTGTGTTCTGTGATTTTCACTCCTCAAATGTATACGTACTCCATGTTATGTGTTTGTTACAAATGTAGTTGATATTCAACTTGCACTGAAACCGATCCACAATGTTTTCCTAAAATTGAAGTGCTGTAATATGACCACATTGCTTTCACTCCATACTCTGTCAACAGCTCTGCTCTCTATTCTGGAAGGGCAATGAAGAGAAGTCTTTTAATTCTTGTGGCTGCAGGTGTTCCGCCAGGCAACACAGAGGAGTTACAAGGCACACAGGACGGAGCCATGCTGTTCCAGACACTTACCTGGACCATCTACAGAGGCTTGCAGAAGCTCACTGCTGTGCCAGCTGTGCTCCACTCCACTCTCCCTTATCTCATCATCTTCTTCCTCTCTTGGTAGCAGAGCTTGGCTCATATGTGGGGAGGACTCATGGTTGGGCATGCTAGCTGGACTGGTCTCCTGGTCCAAAGGGTTCGCAAGACTGTCATCCTCTGCAATATGAAGCTTGTCCTCCTCATCTGTTTCAGAACCTGTGTCCACTACATTGTCATAGTTTACCACTGTGGAAAAGACACAGAAACACTCTCTTTAGATGATTTGAAAATATCAGTGCCCCCAAATGTTTAGTTCAGTAAAAAATAATTCATATTTTCATAACTGAATTGCTCAACCTTGTTAGGAAAATATAATTAATATCCTTAATATTTTAGCATTTGTATTCTTATACCATTGATTCTATTGTAGCTAGGTACTCTTTTCATTTTAAATATTTTACTAAAAATGATGGAAATTTTAAAAAGCAACAGAAGTACACACACTTAAAATATACTTATATTGCACACATAACAAGACACAGTGCAGTTTGCACTTTCCACACTTCACAAAAACTTATAAAATAGATCTACAGTTGACAGTTTTATTAGCTCAGTGACATGACGTGTTTACTATATGAGGTTGTACTATAAATACAAGATGACTTCAGTATTTTAACTGTAGTTTTGTTCCTAGAAACACTGCTCTCTCTCTCTCTCTCTCTCTCTCTCTCTCTCTCTCTCTCTCTCTCTCCATTTGCCCAATGCACATACACAAATCTGTTCAATCTGAAATGAACACTTTCTCTTCTATGTTAACAGTCATGCACTAAGGTCATTTATATCCCAATCTTTTAAGCAGAAAATGAGGAAAAGCCATATCTTCTGGGCCATTAATACTGCTATTGAGATGTCTTCATAGTGTCATAATTACAGAAGATTTCAGAGTGACATGGGCAAGACCAACACAAATGTTAAAATAACTCACAAGAGCGAGTGAGCTGCTTCTGCAGCCTTCAGTCCCAGCAATGCTCAGTAGCTTTTCTTAAAATAGACAGCCTGTAAATAAGGTCTGTGAACTCAATTGAAGGTGGCTGTTTCTGAATTAGTCAGCCCTCACAGGCTCTCGGCCTACATGCTAGTACATAAATTGTCCACTTTACCACCAGACAAGAAAGATTAGAGTAATAAACACGGGGTATTAGCTCAGCTAGAGAAACACACCAGCCGTTACGCACACACAGGATTGCCAAGAACTGTTAACCCAACTCTCCAGAAACACACACAAAAAAACAAGTCAGAACCATGACATCATGGGAACAAGAGGGAGAGAGAAAGAGGGGGGAAAAAGCCAGTGGGGGAAAAAAAGCGCAAACAATTTTCAGGTTCATTTTGATTTCTCTGCGCCTAATAAAGCAATCCTCCGCTAAGTTATCAACTGAGCTATCTCAAGTGGCTCTCGCCAGCTATCGGATTATACAAAAGTGGCGGAAAAGGAGGAAAAAAAAAAGAAAAGGATTGTGTGTCAGGTTCATAATGCTTTTGGAGAATTCTGGAAACATGTCTAGTTACAAATTTTAGTCAGTCATATCTGTTTGCTTTGACAGGTTCCCAGGGAGTGAAAAAGGAACAAAAAGAGAGAGATTTTTTTTGTCATGTGAGGCTGGGGACAAAAAGATTACACCGTGCATATCTGCTCATAATATGATCTTTGTATAATCCGCGGGTCTGCACTTGCCTTCCGAACAACTGCACAACAGGTGCAAATTAAAATGAAAACGGCAGCGGAGCCGGGCAAACAGAATCTGCTGACCTGGTTTGAATACCAATTGACGGGGGAGACAAAACCTTTTCAAGAGGTGTGACCACAAGGGCTTAGGCAAGTTCAGGCTGGGTAATGCCCTCAGATCTACAAAAAGAGAGATATTCCAACGTCTCTGCTCTAGCTGTGTGGCCCACATATACCTTAGTACAATCAATAATGTGCTGCTTTCTTCCCCCTGGTGACTGAGATTTAACCACTTCTTAGCAACAAGCAGAAGATTCTTTACAAATTTTCTGAACACTGAGTGGGGGCAGAGTGTGTGTGTGTGTGTGGGGGGGTGTTCCAACAAAAGCTCCTAAGGCCTGGGAAGCCTTCAATCCATGTCCTAAAAACTGATCTCTGGGCACAGGAGGGATAAAGAAAGGTCCAGAGGAGTGAATAAAATTATCTAAGGCTGGACAAGCATTAAAAGGCCTTTATCCTGCAAGGAAAAAAAAAAAAAAACATGCCTTTTAAGGTCTTTTTCTGCATGGACTACAATATCCCGTGTGACACGTGAGTGTTCCTGCAGCAATACAATTGAAATATTTTCTTGTAGAGAAAAAAGAGAGAGAGAGACAGAGAGATAAATGATTTATGAACAGCCCTTGAGGAGTCCCAAATATCAGAACAATCTAAACAAGCAATGAAGTCATGTCTCACCATATAGGGTCAGGAGTACAGCATCCATCACCTTCACAGGCCAACAATACTTCACAACCTTTAGGGTTCCCACTTACAAATAGTAGTAAATACTTTTAAACTAAATAAATAACTGCTGTCAAGTTCACTTACAGATGCAGTATGCCATCTTTTCCAGAGCTGTGTTAACTAGGATAGCCATTCCCATAAGCCATTACATTACCCCCTGCTCTTTTTTGTTGTTGTTGTAAATCCAGGTAAAGCAATTTACAGCAAACTTAGTTTTTAATATTTAAATTCAAGTGAGAGCATTTCTTTCTGTTCTTTTTGGGTGGACCTACTGATTATTAAAATTATATCCAATGATCCAGTCCTGGATTGCACTTCTGCATCCTACTCCCACTTCTGAATTCTTCAGATTTTCTTCTAAAAATTTCCCTCTGGTCTAATCGATAGATTTTCCCAGAGAAAGGGTCAATTTTCATCAACTTTTTTCTTATAGTAAGGCCAGTACACGGTAGGCTTAACCCCATTTAAATTTTGAATTAAAAGTAGGTTCATAGCATGTGAGATCCTAACAACATACCTTAACTTCATCTGTAAACAAGAGGTTCAATTTTATATAACAACTAAGCATACACTTTTTTTTTTTTAAAAGCCAGGGTCTCACTATGTAATGTTGGCTGGCCTGGAGCTTGCCATGTAGAGTAGTCTGGCCTTGAACTCACAGAGATCTGCCTGCCTAGGTCTCCCAAATGCTTGGGAAAGTCATACACCATTACACTTAGCCCATGAGGGGCACTAGGCTTCTGCAAGCACTTGTTTGTTGAACTTGCATTCCAAACTGTTTTAAAAACTTAAAAGCACAGACCTTAGCATAGTCTATTTGGTCATACACAAAACCCCTAATATAAGTCTCAACACAATTGTATGCATGCATTGGAGCTACAGGCTAGCAAAAAACAGTTACTTCAAAAGCCACAAAGAAGTGAGAGCCCAAAGAATTCCTTTCCGCTATTAGATAAACAAGAGGGAAGATGTACTGTTTGCTGGCTCAAAATAGACACTAATTTTACATCTGTCTCTGAGGCACAGCAAAAAGCCAACTAAAGAGCAGTAATAAATGTCCAAAAACAGCATCATTATCCAAAACTCTCACAGTAATCTTCAGAGGAATTAATTACAATTCTGGGTAACAGTCGCATTGGCAAAATACACCCATAATTATGTACAGGTACTGTACTGTATTACAGGGTAATATGCCATGTGATACCATGTTTACACAATAATTGATGGATAAGATGAAACTATTTGCATATGAAGTGCATATGAATTATTGGCATGGCTTACCGTTTTATGTAGAATCGTATTAAAGTTTCATTTGCTCTAGAACTGTATGTGTGATGTGGGGTTACCAAAGGGTATAAAGACGATGCTTAAATTTACGTTATAGCAAGCGGGTCTGGAAAAATATATCTGAATTTACATTACTAAAAACTTGTATTTAAAAGGTTGCATCGTTGATCTATAATAAGCCTTATTTTCACCTTGCCAGATTCCATTATATTAAACCCTCTCTCTTCTTCCTCCCAAGTAAATAATACTCTAAATTCTAGCGGTATGACAATTAATTTTACAGTCATAAGCAAAGTAAGTAATGGCTTCTCTTTATTGTCCACATCTATAACTTTTATTTTCAGAGTTTTGTATTCTGGTGACATGTAAGAGAACAGTAGCAAAATGTGACATTTTTATAATGTCCATACCTGCTGGAAAATTTCAACATTTGCAAAAATGGCCTATTATAGCATTTAAACATTGCAGATAATTAGCTTGACATTTGAAATAGCAGAACTATTGTTTTGAAGATGCCCTATACAATGTTACCTAACTAACCCCTCTTCCTACTTAGACTCCTTCTCTCTATTATTCTGTCAGCTACAGTACAAATAAGATATCAGTAGCTAATGTATTAACATTCGAAAAACTGATGTGAAGGAGCAATACTTCATCTACACCAGGAGCAGAAGTTTTATTGATGTAAAGGAAAATTACATATGCATATTATAGACAGCTAATTGTTAATAAGGCGGTCAACAATGATTTCCTATAAATCTGCTCAAGTTAAGTGCACCAATAGGACCTTCAATGCCGTCATCAAACATTTAATAAATACCTACAATACAGAACACCTAGAAAAATAAAAGGAGGTGCTATGATCACTTTAGGAAGCTTATAGTTAATTTACTTAGAGAAATATAAACATAAAACTGTGCTAGAGGAACATGTGAAGTCAGCATGTGAGTTGTGACAAAGGAGGTAATACAGGCAGAATGAGACTAAATGACCTGCCAAAGGCCTCATGACCATTTGGTGGCAATGCCCCAGAAAGAAAGCATGTCTTCAGGAAAATAATAGCTACACAAAAAATGCATAATAATACAACTTCCCAGTGAAGAAGGCAATCTAAATTTAAACTACACAAGTCCAGAGTAAAAGAATGGAAATCCCTGGGATTTGGGGGGGAAATTTTGGTGCAGTAAGATGGAGATGCTTAATTTTAAATTGTTTTGATGATTGTTACTTTCATGGATCCCCTTAATTTGAGTTATAGAAGCCTACCAATTTGATCAATTACCAGAATCTAACAATACACCCTTGTTTCCTGCAGTAGTTTGGAAACAATAGAAATAAAGAGGCAGTTCACAGAATTACGAGCTTGCAACTTGCCTTCTTGTCCCAGCACCAACATGTAACCAGCTGTGTGGCCTTGGTCTATCACCCAAGGAAACTTCCTTCAAAT